CCTCCTCCACCCACTACGTCCCAGGGAGTGGAACTCTGGGAAGCATCCACTGAACACTTTGTGAAAATCTTCCTCCCCTTTTCAGGGTTTAAAGGCAGACCCACAAGGAAGGAAGTGGGTAGACCCTCAAAAGGCAGCCAAAATAATTCCAAACATTTGGTCTTTTTCAAAGCCAACATTTTAAATCTATGCCAAAGACTTGCCTGCGTGGTTATGTGCACTCAACCCCACGCCAGCCCCGTGCGCTGGGTGGGATTGTTATTCCCACTTTAGCACTGAGAACACTGAGGTCCCCAGAGGGTGGTGACTTTCTCATGACCACAGTGGATGCAGCAGCTGGGCTGGGAACGGAGCCTGGTGCCTGACTGCACATCTGGACAGCTGCAAGGACACTTCACGTGGCTGTGGTGTGGGGAGTGGACCATCTGACAAGCCAATAAGAATGTTCTGAGACTCCCTCCCACCCTGCCTACCCCCCCAACCCCCTGCCCAGGCCTGTGTGCCACCAGGTGGACACCTGAGATGTGGTCCCTTTGCATGGCCACTATCCTCCTGGGGCTTTGCTGCTTACCGCTAGGATGGTGGTGAGACCCTCCTTGGACCCTATGCATGCCCCTTCACCTTGCACACGCTAGTGCTTTCAGGTTACTCCTCCCAAGGCCCGGCTCTAGTCCTGGCTCTTCCCCAGCTCAAAAACCTCCAGGGGCTCCCCATCGCTTTGCCAACTAAGAACCCTATTCTTTAGCTTGAAGGCTTCACAATCCAATAGAATCCAGATCTCGAGCCCCGCCTACCCCCTCATGGGCTGCCACTCAGGAACACTAACCCCGCCCCTCCATCTCGCTGCATCTGCACACACAGTGCGGCTACCTCACCCTGTTAGCTGCCAGAGAATCGTTACCGAAAACACCTGATTTCCTTCTCACGCATATCACGGTGCCACAGACGGAGGTCCCGTAAGACCAGGTGGCCGCGAAGATGTGACGAAAGGGAAACCGATGCAGCTGTTCTGGGGAGACTTTCTGAAGCACTGGTGACGTGGAGTCTGTATAGACCCCGCCCCCCAGAAGTCCCATTCGGGGGGCATGCACCCCCAGACGACTCTCCGGCCCACAAAGAAAGATGGGCAGGTCTGTTCATCCCGACATGAACTGCAGTCGTGGAGAGCCGGCAGCATCCTGAAAGTCCCCTAACAGGGGATCCGCTACCCTTGGGGCACGTGTCTTTTCCTGGATTTCTCATCCTACAATCTGATGATCCCCTACTGAGCGATGGGGTCCAAGTTCCTCCCCTTGCACCCCATGGGGGCTGTGACCACTCCATGTACTCAACAAAGCGGAGGAGAGTAAGGCTCAGAATTCCCAGGTGACGTTCTATGCCCCCCTCCGACACCCCCACACACACCCACTCGTACTGGGGAACCCATGTTGTGAGAAAGCCGAGGTCACACAGAGAAGCCCCAGGCAGGGGTCCCTCTGCTGACATCACCATCAGCCCCCAGATAAAGGGGCCAAAGTGCCTCAGGTAAGTCCTGCCCCACCCCCCAGCTGAGGGCCAGACACCTTGCAGTGGAGACAAGCCACCCTAATCCATGCACCCCACGAGCACACTGATAAACGGTCATCTGACACCCTGAGTTTGGGGGAAATGTGTGATTCGACCATAGTAACTGGAACAAAGGCATCTGTGACTGTTGGTTTAGTGCACGGTGGTTAGAAAATCATTGCTTCATTTATCAGTATCAAATTCCTACATTAAGGTGAAAAAAGGGCAAGATGGCAGAGGTGTATAATGGAATACTGCTTCTGTAAATTCATACACAAGAACAGGTATGTGGGGTGGCACGGGGGCGAGGTTAGGACAAATGGAATTGGGTTGAAGGATGAAGCGAAGATCAAATTTAAATTTTAAAGTGGGAATTCTCTAAAATTATTCCCAAAGAAAAAAGCTGATTAAAACAAAACACAACAGGCAGTGGCTACTGCAGTTTGCTGACTCCTGATCTATGCTCTTGGGATTATGCCCACTAACTCGCTCCCCCTGGCTCATGCGGCATCTTTGGACACCAGCACTGAGCTAGGAGGTGACAAGGTTCCCACTGTGCGGTTGTGAAGAGCCCGTTCGCTGGGGATTCTCTGGTGGTCCCGCCGCAGAGGGGAGAGGTGGCGGTGGACGAAACATGTGGGCAGACAAGAGTGGACGGGCGGTGAGGAAGGGTGGCAGAGGGGAGAGGTGGCGGTGGACAAAACATGTGGGCAGACGTGAGGAAGGGCGGCTGATGTCATGGCCCCACTTTTCTGCCTGGGGAGTCCTTCTGCCCGAAGGTGACCAGAAACTTGGGCTCTGGCCCTGGGAGCACCAGAAGCCCTCTCAGGGCCGTGAGGCTCCACAGTCAGTCTCCAGAGAGCATCCTGACTGCCCGATGCTATCCTGGAGCTGCTTCCGGGTCTGAACATGACAAGCCTCTGCCCACAATCCCCCCTCCGGACTCGGCCTCCTGTCACCTCCAAGCAGAGTGGCGATGCGGCTCCGGCACGCACGGAGCACAGAGGTGGCCGCCTGGGCGAGCACCAGGGCGGCTACTGCACGCCTCCCCACCTGGTCTTGCTTCTCCGCAGCAACCCTCTGTCTGCTCGCCGGGGCCCCGCGCCACACGCTGGAGTTCTGCTGCCGCAGTTGCCGGGAGCCTCCTGGGGACAGCAGTGCCAGGACCCAGCCCTGGAGCCCCTGGGAGGAGACACGCCCTCCAAGCCCCCAAAGACCGGTGCTTGGGAGGAAGGTCTACTCTCCTTCGGCCCGGTCCGGCCTCCCGTCCCTCCATGTTCCCCAGAGGCAGTGGGAGACGTTCCAGCAGTGCCCGATGCCCAGCCGGCCTCCACTCCCAACAGCCTGGCGCAGGCAGGGGTGCGTACTACCCGCGGTTTACATGAGAGGGAACGGAGGATCAGAGAGGCAAGGCCCCCTACCCAGGGCCACACAGCCCAGAGTAGAAGGCATTAGAACCCAGACTCTGAGGAAGCCCCCACTCAAAGTGCTCAGAAACCACGGGAGTGACGCCAGGCTTGTGGTTCCAGAAACATGCCCAGGGGCCACGCACAGGCAGGCCCCAGGAAACCTGCATGTAGTAGGTGGTCAGCTGGAAGGCACCCTCTCCGCCACTTGGCTTTTCATCCGGGTCCTTCTCTGGTCTCGGGTTCTCCATCTCTTAGAAGCACCCTCGACTTAGATGCTGTGATTAGCCACAGGCTGTTGCTTCTCCCCCACACCGACTGGGGCAGTCATTTCTTCCCTTGACCCGCCCTCCTCTGGCTGGGGTACCTCTGCCTTGGAGTCTCTCTGACCGTGGGCACCCCCAGGGAGCAGTACTTGGGAGACCACAGCTCTTCCCGAAGACCCCGGCTCGCCCACTTTGGCCCCGTGTCCTCACCCATGCAATGGGGGAAAAGCCCCAACTCTGTCTGCCTCCAGGCTGGAGTTCAACAACCCGGTGAGTCCCTGTCGTTGATCATCTTTGCCGCTCCTGGGGCGGGATGCGAGGGCGAGGAGATGGGTCGAGCATCTTGTCCTCGAGTCTGCAGAAAAGCCCTCCTCCCACCCAAGGTCTCCAGGCCACTAGGCACCAGAGGTCCCTGCTGGCAGCCGCGGGTAGGTACGCTCAGGGTGGTAAGCTGGTAAGAGGGTGGCGCGGGGCGGGGGTGGTGGTGACCGGCTCCCTCTGCAGCCAGAAGACGCACCCCAAGTGCTCACCGTTTTGTCTCCGCGGCCACAGGTGGGCCAGCAAGGTCCCTCCACTAGGCCTCAGCCCCACCCGGCCTCCCGGCCTCCTAGACCCGCTGCTCAGCTGCTTCTCGCTCCCATCCCCATCCGACTCTGGGGCTGTCGGTGCCAGAAGGGCCCCAGGCCCTGACTGTCGGAATTCCAGGCCTGCCAGAGCCACTTACCATCTGGAATGGTCTCTCCTCGGCTCTGTTTTTCCCTCTGGAAAATGGGGTTGATGCTCCCTCCACCGTGGTTGTTCTGAAAATTAAAGTGAGGCGGCGGGCGGCACTCGGTTGGTCGCGGCCCCCGGCTGGCACTGGGAGGCTGGGTGTACCTCTCCGCGATAACCCGCGTCCGGTGAAGCCTGCTGCGCCCGCGCATCCGCGTTGCCGTCCGGTGACTCGGCCGTCACCCGCTCCCAGAGGAAGCCGGTCAGAAGGTTACTCTTAAGTGGCCACAGCTCCGAGGGCGACGGCGTGGGCCGGGATGCACTTTGGTCACTGCACTCCCTGCTGCAGAAGTGGGAGGGGACTCCCCATCGCTTTACAGTCGGGGCCTGCCCCTAAGACCTACGCGGCCGGCCGGGGCAATGGCTCCCGCCCGCCACTAAGGCCCGAGCCTCTTAGGGAGCTGGACGGTGGAGACCTCCTCTCGCTCAGCGGGTGTGACATCGGGCGTTCTGCCGGCAGGGCCACGGGGATAGGGGCGGGGGCTAGCATTTTCTTACATTTTGAGCCTGAATCTGAGACCTAGAGAGTTCTATCGCACTACCTTTGGCATTAAATCCATATTTCATTAAGTGTAAATATTAAAAATATGCTACAATTTTGCAGCCTTGACATCCGGAGTCTAAAAAAATGACTAACCCATTCTCTTGCTGTTTCTTGGAAGCCCCGGGGTCTTCCTGCCACGGTATACACATGCACACAAATACATACAAGCACACACACGCGTGCACACACACACACACACCACACTCGTGCGCGCGCACACACGCAGTTCCTCACTCTCGGTCCAACACTCTCCCCTCAGCGAGGTAATTACTGCCCTTGCCGGACACTGATTGGCCAGTCTGCTTCTCATCGGAGCCCCGCAGCCAATAGGCGGCCCCGCGACCGAGGCCCCACCTCTCCAACCCCCGGCTCGGGTGGCTCGGGCCGGGGGAATGAATCACGCGGGGCCGAACTGGCCGCGACCCCCCGCCTGGGCCGCCGGCCGCCCGCCCTCGGACGCGCGACCGCCTGCGCGCCCGGATCCGGGCGGCGTCTCCGAGCAGTGGCCGCACTCGGGGCCGGCGCGGCATCCTCGGGCTGAGCTGGCTGCCCGCCCGGCCCGCGCCGCCCCGCCCCTGCTGGCCCCTCCCCTGCCCTCCCCGCCCCCAGCGGGGCCGGCCCGGGCGGCGACCAGAGCGGCGACGTGAAAGGCGAGCGAGGCAGCTGCCCGGCCGGCTGTCGGCGCGCACCCGCTCCCGGCCCAGCCCAGTCCGGCGCGGAGGCCGCTGCCTGCCCCGCGGGGCCCGACGCCAGCGCTCCGGGCAGCGGCTCCAGGGCCGGCCCGCGCGTGCGCCAGGGAGCCGCGCGCCAGCGTCCCCAGCGGGGACCGGGACCGGCCGCACCCCGGGCTCCCGGAACCCCGAGGAGCCCGGCAGAGCCCGACGGACCGGCGGCCGCGATGCCGGACGAGCTGACGGAGCCCGGGCGCGCCACGCCGGCCCGCGCCTCCTCCTTCCTCATAGAGAACCTGCTGGCAGCCGAGGCCAAGGGCGCTGGGCGCGCGGCCCAGGGCGGCGGCCGCGAGGACGAGGAGGACGACGACGACGACCCTGAGGACGAGGACGCGGAGCAGGCGCGGCGGCGGCGGCGGCTGCAGCGGCGGAGACAGCTGCGCGCGGGCTCCGGGCCGAGCGGGGACGCGCGGGCCCGGGCGCTGCTTGGGCCGGGCGCGCTGGGCCTCGGTCCCCGGCCGCCCCCGGGTCCCGGGCCGCCCTACGCTCTGGGCTGCGGAGGCGCCACGCGCTGGTACTCGCGGTCGCACGGAGGCTACGGAGGCGGCCTCAGCCCTGACAGTGAGTGAGGGCGCGGGGAAGGGGGGGCCGCGGGGGGGGGGGCCGGGCTTCCTCCCCGAGCGTTTGCTCGGCGACTTTGGGCTCGTTGGCGCCCTTTCTGGGCCTTCCTCCTCATCTGTAGGAGGCTCTGGGTCGTGTCGGGCCCCAGCAGAGCCCCTGGTTGAGCAGGTCTGGAGGCCCACTCTCCAGGACAGGGTCCCCATGCAGGGAGAAGGTTTCGCAGGCTCTGGGCTTCACCCATCACCAGGCTCTGGAGTGCCCTTGGAGGGGAACCTGGGGACAGGGGACAACAGACAGCTAAGAAGAGAAAAGGAAGGGGGGTGGGGAATACAACAGGGGAAGGCAGGCCATGGGAGGGGGCACGGGGGGGAGGGGCAGAAAAGAAGAGAAAAGGACAGAGAAGAAAGAGAGGGATGTTGGGGGCGGAGAAAGGAGCGAGGGGGGAAGAGAAGATGAAAAACAAAAAGCAGAAAGAAACCCATAAGTGATGGAGAGAACAGAGAAAAGATAAAGGAAGGAAAGAGAGAGGGTCAGGAGACAGAGTCAGACTCAGCAAAATAAAGGGGGCGTTGAGCAGAGGGAACCGCTGCTGTGGAGGCCTGGACGGGGGACAGCGGTCTTCCCCAGCAGCCGTGTCCCCAAAGTCCCATCTCCTCTACAAGCTGCAGCCAGGGCCTGGGGCAGGGGCCTGGCTCTCCCTCTTGGGCCTCCCAAGCCCCTGGGCTGTGGCTGTGCAAGGCCAGACGCCCCCAGTCCCACCCCTCTCTCTCCCTTTTCTGCCCCTCCCCCTCCCCCGCCTTTGTTCCCTGCTGAGGGCTCTGAGTCTGGGGGTGGGGGGGTTTTCAGCCCTGGAACCCGATCGATCGCCCCTCTTGACTGGGCGTCCCAGCCCCTGAGTTCTACTCCCCTCCCCGGGGTCGCTGCCTCCCTTGGGGACCTGCCGTTTGGAGGAAGCCCCCCGCCCCGGGCAAGAGGAGTAGGAAGCTATTCTAACCTCAGCCCCCAGGCTTTGCCAGCCCCCCCACAAACGCACACTGTGAGGCCAACTGAAGACTCTTCCAGGCCCTGAAATACTTTCAGCTCCAAGCGAAAGTTAGCGAGTGCTGGGGGGCGGGTGAGGAGGGGGGTAGTAGGTGGGCCAGACCCCTCTCACCTCTTGGATAACCCCTTCTCTGGTGTGGGATTGAGCCCCTCGCAAAGGGACCCACATCTCAGAGCCTACACCCAGAAGGTCCCGGGCCCCTACCCCCTTCCCTTCCGGGAAGCTCGAGCAGGCCTCAGTGTTTGCCCCGAAATTGAGTGATCAGACTAGTGCCCTTCTGGGGGTGTTTGTGAAAAGGGTCTCCCTGCGGGGGGGGGGGAATGCGTTCCCTGCGTGTCCCTGGGGTTCTTCTGCAGCTGCAGCCCCACAGGCGGCCGCCAAAGAGCCGGTTCTTCTTTCGTGTAATGCGGGTTAGGGGTCCCTGTTTTGTACCAGAGCTGGCAGGCCTGTCTTGTCTTCGTGTGGCAGCACGTGGGCCTCTGTGAGTCTGCCCCCCCCCCCGTATCTGGTCGCACACATGCCAGCCTGGAACCTGACCCCTCTTTGGACACCATGAGGCCTCACGCCGCCAGGGTTGGGCAGGGACACACGCAAATCGGCACGCCTCCGGGGGAGCCGCGGAGCGCAGGGACCAAGCTACAGACACAGCCTGCCGGCGTCTGCACACCTTGCGGGCTCCTCACGCTGCGGGCTCACCGCTGCCTTCTGAGGGCTGGCCGGGCCAAGCTCTACTCGACGGCCGCAATGCTGACCTGCGGCCTGTGTCCAGGAGCCTCGGCCTGAGGCACAGGGGAAGCTGGCCTGAGCTGGCCTCTTGAGCCCGGAAGTCAGGCGGCTGCCCTTTTCAAGCTGGGCCTGGAATCTGGACCAGCACCTGGGCCCTGGGCAGACTCCTTCACCTGGAGGCATCACCCCTTGCCGGCCCTGCGGAGGGGAGGCGTCTCCTCTGGGAGACTGTGTGCAGCTTGGTACTGGAACGTGAGCCCCAAACCCACAGGCTCAACCGTGGGCCCAGTGTGTGTGGGGTGAGATGCAGCTGCCGCGTGTTTCTACGGAGCCAGAGCTGCCCTCGTCTGCACTCCCTCTGAGTGTGATTTGGGTGGAGAGGGCACATCTCCATGGACATTTGAACTATAGGGGCACAGGAATCGGGGGAGAATAGGTTCCCAGTGGCACCTGGTTGGAGTTTGGCTTGGGGAATTGTTTGCATTTGCTTATCCTCCATCAATGGGAATATTTCTGTGCACGCGGGCGTTCTGCATCTGCTCCTGGGCCTGAGCGGGGAGAGGTCAGGGCAAGTCTTTATTTCTGTGTCTGGGGGACTTGGCCTAGGGCTGAGTGCGAGGGATGAGGCCCTCTCTGTGCTGGTTTCTGGTGTGTACATTTCTCAGAAGGACCATCCTTTCCTCCGTGAGGTGTACCTCCGGGGCTTTTGTGTGTGTTGATTCGAAGTCACTGTTTAAGGGAGTCAGTCTTCTTTTTGTGTTTCTGTTTGTGTTTTTGTGTTCCTTTTCTTCCATCTTCCCCCTGTTGCCCTCCGTGTGGATGCGCGGTTCTGGGCGTGAGTGTGTGGCCAGCGTGTTGGTTTGCAGCATCGCTCAGGTCTTCAAGTTCACCTCCAGATGCTCTGCCTTTCTCCGGTCCCAGGGTGAGATCTGCCGTAGGTGGGGCTGCGTGGGGACAATTTCCCTGCCTGTGGCTGTGGGTGACCTCGCGGGGGAAGCAGCTGACCTCAGCGACAGGGCCGGGGGATCAGCCTCCGGAACCAACCCGTGTTCCTCCTCTCCCCCCTGCAGCCAGCGACCGGGACTCACCGGAGACGGGCGAGGAGATGGGCCGCGCAGAGGGCGCCTGGCCGCGGGGCCCCGGGCCGGGAGCGGTGCAGCGGGAGGCGGCGGAGCTGGCGGCGAGGGGCCCGGCAGCCGGCGCGGAGGAGGCGGCGGAGCTGGCCGAGGCCCGGGCGGCGGCGGCGGCGGCGGGGGAGGCGCGCGGCGGCGGCGGGGGCGGCGGCCGCAAGAAGAAGACTCGCACGGTCTTCTCGCGCAGCCAGGTCTTCCAGCTCGAGTCCACCTTCGACCTGAAGCGCTACCTGAGCAGCGCCGAGCGCGCCGGCCTGGCCGCCTCCCTGCAGCTCACCGAGACGCAGGTCAAGATCTGGTTCCAGAACCGCCGCAACAAGTGGAAGCGGCAGCTGGCGGCCGAGCTGGAGGCCGCCAGCCTGTCCCCGCCGGGCGCGCAGCGCCTGGTCCGCGTGCCGGTGCTCTACCACGAAAGCCCCCCGGCCGCCGCCGCCGGAGCTCCCGCCGCGCTGTCCTTCCCGCTGGCGCCCGCCGCGCCCGCCCCGCCCCCGCCGCTGCTCGGCTTCTCCGGGGCCCTCGCCTACCCGCTGGCCGCCTTCCCAGCCGCCGCCTCCGTGCCCTTCCTGCGGGCGCAGATGCCCGGCCTGGTGTGAGCCCCCGGGCGGCAGGGCCCACTCCCCGTGGCCAGTGGGGACTTCTGCGGACGCGCACACGGGCCGAGGCGGCAGCGGTGGCGCCAGGGGGCCGTCCGTCAGGGAGGGCAGGGACGCTCCCCTGGCCCTCCCGCGCCTCGGGGAGCGCAGGCTGCCGCCCGGGCGAGCCGAACCCCTGTCCGAAGATCGGAAGATCGTCCAGAATGTAACAGAGACGCAGGTGACTGTGGCTCCCCAGACAGTCGCAAGGCTGGATCCCCGCTGGGAAGAGAGCATCACAGAGACAGTCGGCCACGCAGCCCAGAGCCTCCCCCAGCCCCCTACCCCCGGGGACAGGCCTCAACCTCGGAGCAGATCCAGCCCCCGCCCTGCCGGAGCCAGCGGCTGGGCGCAGTCCACGGCAAATCCAGGCTGTCCCAGGTGCTTCATGGAGGTGACCATTCTCCAACCCGAACAGCCCTGCCTGGGACTATGCACGGGCAGGGCAGCAGGCCTCCGGGCTGGCAGAGAGAGAATCCCAGGAAGAGAGCCCCTGTGGAGCGGAAGGGGTGAAGATCCTTCCAGGTGGCGCTGCTCTCAGATTGTCCGTTCTGGAGATGGGGCCAGACTGGGGCTTCTCTCCCAGGCTGCAGCCCCTGGTTATCCTGGCGAAGACATTTTTTTTTTTAAATGAATCTACTTATTTGCGTATGGAATAAAAAGGGACGTTTTCTGGACACTTGCCGCTGCTCTGTGATCACTGGGGCGAGCCTCTCCTCTGGTAATGGGCTATGGTGGGCACCGTCTCCCCGCTCCTGGAGCACCCTCCAATGCTGGCCGGGGGCAGGTGGGCAGGGCAGGCAGGAGCTGGGGTCTGCGAGCTGTACTCTCAAGCCCCCACGTTCTCCAGACAGGGAGACCCAGCGAGACCTTAGGGGAAGTCAGGGTCAGGGGGGAGAGGGGCCTAGGGTGGAAGGGGATTCTGCATCCTCCGTGGCTCAGTCCCGGGGCCTTGGCGACAACCGAAAGCCAGTGGTCAGGCGAAGGCAGAGCCCGCTGGCCACTCACCTGGCACGAGGGGCTGCCAGCTGTGTGGCCCCCTGCATCCACTGCCCCGTCCCTCACTGGAGTTGAGAGCCATCTCTAACATAAGGGGTTTTTTCTTTTGGCCAAAACAAAACACCGGCGCCAGACAGCCCAGCAAGGTCAGGTGGGGAACAGGGCTCTCTGGCCTGGGCCTCATCCCCTGGACCATCCGCAGTCTCTCTTGAGCTGGGGGACTCGGACCCGTGGGCAAAGTCCCGGGTCAGGGCCCGAGTTTATGGGCTCTTGAGGAAAGCTTATTGAAAGCTTCTTCCAATGGCTGGCTCTCTACAGCCGGCCTGTTGCAGGGTGAAGACAGGGCCCTCCTGCATGGGGGGAGGACACTTTACTGGGTGTGCTTCTCGAGAAGCCCAGAGAGATAGGTCATTCGGTCCTTGAAACGGTCACTTCTGTAAGAAAACTGAGCCCCCTCGGAAACCTGTCTCTGCCCCCTGGCTTTGGGACTTTGGGTGGAACGGACGCTCCCAGGCTGAGCTGCACAGCAACAGGGCCACCCTCCGGTGTCCTTGGAGTTCTCAGAGGTGGCGCCAGACAGCCCAGGAGAAGGCGCCACGGGGGTCACCCCCAGGCAGGAGGTCCGGCTCCCTGACCCGGAATCATCCCCTGCCCCAGCCCCTCCAGTCAGTTCCCAGTGCCCTGAGGCCAGGCCCCAGAAAGGCCCAGCAGCCCTCCTGGGGAAGGGGGCAGCAGTCCGTGGCCTAGGTGGTCCTTCCTCTGGGCTCTAAGGTCCCCACCTTCAGACTCCCAGTGCCCAGGGCATAACACGGGTGGGCAACCTGAGAGACGCATGGGGCACCTCCTCCAACCCAGTCCCCGTCCTGTTGCCGCATTTGCTTCCCTTTGAGGGTTGGCTGTCCTCTCCCTGAGGGAGGGGGCACCTGCCCCAAGCTACTGCTTCTCCTGTAGCTTTCACTCAACTTTGCCAGGAGGGACTTACGATCTGCTTCTCTACAGCGAGCTTGCTCTAGCTATTTCCAAAGGCCTTCGCTCCTGACCAGCGGCCACGGGGGGAAGTGACGTGCCAAGAAGGCCACTCGAGGGGCAGCACAGACCCATGTCTCCCTCCTCCTGCTCTCTTCCCCACTGTGCCCTCTCTGGGCATCGGCACCCCTGGCTTAGCCTCCCCTGGGACCCTGACCCTCCCTCGCTTGGTGGTGACCTCATGCTGTCAGTAGACGAATCATTGCCAGTCCTCAGAAGGACGCGTCCAGAAAGCCTGGGCAGAGCTGGCCGCACCGTGGAGGCCTCCGGGCCAGCGCAGGTCTCCCCGCCGGCCGCGGCCACCTGCTCTCTGCCGCTTTCCCTCCACGCACCAGGCGGGCCGCGTCAGGCGGTGCCGGCGCTCTGTGCTCCGCGCCGCACCCGCGCGGCGTTGCACCGCGGCGATGGGATTCGGCAACGGCCGTGGTCCCGAGCTCTCGGACCACGACTGGGATCCTTACAACCCAGGTTAAACGGGTTATCACCACGAGGCAACCGTTTTATTCGACTGTTTGTGGCCTGTGCGGGTGCGGTCTCGAGGTGGTGGCGACCAGACCGCAGGACGCAGCGAAGCGCTGTGTGGTGCCGAGGTCCCCAGGCGGCTCGCCCACAGCGGCGGGTCGGTCTGCGCCAACCAGAGCTCCGCGTCCGCCCGGGAGCCACCTAGCGCCGGGGCCACAGGAGCGCGAAGGGGAGGAGCCGCGGGCGCCGTACCCTCGGACCCGCCCGCCAGGAAGCAGCGAACCCGACGGCCTGCCGCTGGAGTCAGAGGGAGGAAGGGTCTACGGGCTGCAAACGCGGGGCGGATTCGGGGAGAAGGGTTGCGTCTTTCGATGAAGCAGTGAAAAGATGGGCTGGAGAGCGGCTTCCTTGCCGCAGGCTCCTCCGAGATCCGCCGGGTGGGAAGGAAGGTGCCAGGAGGAGGAAGGAGAGGCTGTTCCCCTGCGCAGGAAGGGTCGGGAGCTAGAAGCCTAACACTGAAATACAGAAAGTGGATCCAAACCTGGATTAGGGCGGGGGCTCAGGGAAGCTGGCTTTACCCCATGATTACCCAGCGTCCGGAGTGTCGCACCACGGGCAGCACAAACCAGAGAGAAGCGCGGTAGGGAACACGCAGCCCTAGAGGGCGCGCGGGACCAGGCTGGGGATGAGCCTGGCTCCAGGCTCTGGCGCCATCACTGCGGGCCAACCTCACCTCGCACACGTTGGCTCCGCTCATGGCGGGAGAGGAATGGCTTTGCTCTGTCTCTATCGCACGTGCCGTGGCCCTCCCCAGCCCGCCAACCCTAACTTCTTACGTGAGACCCGATTCCAGCCACCCTGGGCCGCCTAGGGTTTCAGGCTGCAGAGTCCCTGAGCGCAGTTGGGTCCACCAGGCTTCGGACACCCTGGCCGACCTGCAAGGATTCCCAGCCAAGTTCATGCAGAACCAGACCTGCTAAAAGGGACAGGCCAGTCTCATGTCCCCCAGGGTGGCTCTCTGCCCGCCCCACCCCACCTGGGCACTCCGGAGTCCTGGCCGAGAGAGCAGGCACCGCCCCACCCCAGTTCACGTCTGCCCGCCTCATTCAAAGCCCTGGCGAGGGACTGACGGGCATCCCGGTAAGTGCCCTTCTCCTAGCTGGCAGTTCCCCACCCGCACCCTGCCCACCCAGGGCCTCCCCTCCGGCTGACCCCTTCTCATCAGATACAGGTCAAGGGCTGTCCGTGGCCCCCAGCCTCCTCCCCACAAGCTTGGCCTGGCTTCGTGGGGTGACGGTTTCTCAGAGCCTTGGCTCTGAGCCTACCCAGAAGGCGACCCACCTGGGCTGAGAGCTGGGTCAGGTGGGTACCAAGAGGGAGGCCAGAGGGGCTGGGCCAGCTTCTCTCTCCTTCTCCTGTCTGTAGGCGTCTCCCAAGCATCCTTCAAAGCCTTCTGGCCTCACCTGGCAATTCTCAGCAAGGTAAACTGGGGACCGAGGGGCAGAGACTCTGGGGCAGGGACTCCGTGAAGTCACTCAGCCACCGAGGCCCCGACCCCCCCCTTCCTCCACCTGGTGCTATGGAGGTCGGGGCCCCATCGTGGAGTCACCCCTCCCTGATAGCCTGCACACTCAGGCAGTGTTTGCCCTCCCTTCCCACCCGTCAGAATCACCTGGATCTTTTCCTTTGGCCGCCCTCAGTGCGCATGCCTCCTGCATCCCTTAGCTAGGAGCAAAGCCTGAACTCGGTGATCCAAGGTGGGTCCCCAAGGCGGCTCACCACACAACTGGGTACAAGCCCCGCTGCCCTCTCGCGGAGGGGGACACTCCCTCATGGGTAGACTGGAAAGGGGGCCACCCTATTCTGATAGCACCGAGCTCTGAATCTGGAACTCGGATGGACACTTGGGACAAAGGTGCAAAGATAAAGATCAAGAAGCACGAGGCAGCCTCCGGCTTCACCACCTGGAGAGCAAACGACAGCTGACCGCCTGGCCCGTGCCAGCTCCTGCAGCTGTCAGCCTCAGTTTTAGTCTGTTTGTTTGTTTTATTATAAAAGTAAGAATGCTTATGATTGATTATCTGGAAATTGCAGTAAAGTCAAAACGGAAATACTTTGCATTTCCACCATCAAAAGTCACCTGCTTCTGGGCTTCCCTGGTGGCGCAGTGGTTGAGAGTCCGCCTGCCGATGCAGGGGACGCGGGTTCGTGCCCCGGTCCGGGAAGATCCCACGTGCCGCGGAGCGGCTGGGCCCGTGAGCCATGGCCACTGAGCCTGTGCGTCCGGAGCCTGTGCTCCACCACGGGAGAAGTCAACTGCTTCTGGGTATTATATGAAGTTGTGGATTTATTGTGAGGCGACTTATAGATGTATTGTTAATTTTTAAGAGTTCTTATCTTTTAATGTTTAAAAGTTAAAGATGCACTTATGTATTTACGCTGAAACGATGTGATGTCTGCGTTTGTTCGAAAATATCTCAACAAAACTAAACAAACTAATTAATTAAATAGTAAAAATGAAAGGGAGACGCACAGATGAAATTGGATTGGCCAGGAGTTGATCATTGTTGAGTGGGGGCTGGCTACATGGGACTTCATTTTAAGGCTTCCTCTACTTTGTTTTATATTTGAAAACTTTCATAATAAAGGTGCTTTAAAAAGTGACTACCCAGAAACGTCAGGGGTGTGTATCCCTAGCGGCTGATTCTCTGCCGGGGGCCGTTTTCGTTATACGTTTATTTTCCTCGGATCGCAGTCTGACCTCGGTTCGGTTTACATCCTGCTAGCTTCCCACCCCGCTCCTTGCTCACTTCGCAGTGCGCATTAAAGCCCGTCAATTCGGTCTCTGCAGACATGTTTCAGGCTTAAACTTCCCTCTTTCTCCACGTATCTGTCCCTGCCTCCCTCCCTCCCCCACTGGTCCGGGCGCTTCTCTGGGTCCCCGACCTGAGCGCCAGCGCCCGCGATCACCTCCGCCCGGGAGGCCTCTGAGAGCCGCGGAGGACGGATCCGGGCTGCAGGATCTCTGGCGCCGCCTCCCGGCTCTCGCGGCCGGCGTCACCCACGCGGACCGCGATCTCCCACTGCTTGAGCAACCCAGGTCCGACCCCGCTGCGGGCTTGGGAGACTGAGCCCGGCGGCCGCCCCTCTGGTCCTGGGTTCGTGTCTTCGGTTTCCCGGCACCTCCTGG